TGAATAGAAGTTATCAGTTGGAGTTTGTTTACTGTCCCATACAGTAATGATAATGTCTTGGTGATGGTTTAGATATGCTCTACCTGACCTGCTTGAATAATTGGAAGACACATCAAATGCTCTTCTTTGACGGTGTTGTTGGGTGCTGTTAAGTCGGTTCCTACTAGTAGCCGCCCTATATCCAACAGAAGGGCACACCAACCATTCTGCACCATCCTCACAACTGATGCTCTGTCTGCGCCCAGCATTGCAGTCTCTGTGTCAATGTACTTGTCAAGGGTCCTCTTCCTTTTTGCTGCCCTCCTACTTGACCAAGCATGATGTCCTTTTCCAGGGACTGGTCTCTCCTGACAACATGTCCAATGTATGTGAGACAAAGTCTCACCATCCTTGCCTCTAAGGAGCATTCTAATTGTTCTTCTTCCGAGACAGATTTGTTTGTTATTTTGGCAGTCCATGGTGCCTTATTCAATATTCCTTGCCAGCACCACAATTCATATGCATCAATTCCTTGACATTTAGAGGAAAAAATGTTCCCAGAGGCCTTGAAAGGAAAAAAGAACCCCCTGATATATAGCTTAGGACAGTCCTTGTGGGCTTCTGGAAGTGTAAGCCTTTATGAGATCAGGCCTCCTCTTTCTATCAAAATACATTGTATGCCGCTATTTTGTCACACTGTTACAAAATTCCTATCATCTGGCTGCTTTAAAAAAATTATATATATACAAAGCCATTGCAACCCAGTTGATTCAGATGCATAGTGACTCTACAGGACAGTTTCCAATGCTGTAATCTTTATTGAAGAAAACTGCCTCCTTTTCTCCTGTGGAGGGCTAGTGGATTCAAGCCCCAACCTTAGCCATTATACTACCAGAACTGTTTTATAAAATAACTCCCAAATAAACAAATCACAAATCTGTTTGTAAACACTTTTTTAAATTTTTGCAAATCCCACTAGGTAAAATGTTGTGATTTACTAGCTTCTTTCAAATTCCTCTCCACTCTAGGAAAGGTCTCGCTGCTATTTTTCCCCAAGTCGTTAGTGATGGGCTGTGACCTGAAAGGGCAGCAGTGGAAACCACCAGCCGCTCCATGGGAGAAACACGGGGCTTTCTACTCCCATAAACAGTTACAGTCTCAGAAACTCAAGGGGGCAATTCTACCCTGTCTGCTAGAGGTCGCTAGGAGTCGGCATGGACCCCAAAGCATTGAGGGGGTGTTTTGGTTTCTCCACCCCACCCTTCTATTCAGCTCCAAACCATCGATGCTGGTGGTTGTCCCACAAACTACGTGTCAGGCTGAGCTTCTCTGTGGTTGACTTACTTGTAAGTCTGTGCTGAGACAGCTCTATGCAATTGCCCTTTCTCATGCATGGAACCAAGTCCGATGGTACCAACTCTTGGAATTTGAGCAAGTTGTTTTGTTTTTTTTACTTATTTTTCAAGTGTCACAAAAATCCATTTGGATTGGGGG